CTTTATTTTTTTTTTGTTGTGTATATATATGGTTTATATAAGTAACATGTTATAATATGTATATAAACTATAAACTATATATATATATAGAGTTGGGATCATATGAGAATGGTAGATAGTGAAAGAAATAAGAATGAGTCTAAATCATTGGATCTAACATATCAATGGTTTTTATGAAGTCAAATTATGGTTAATCATTAATGGCAATATGATAATTAGTTAATTATATTATGGTCAAACATGTGTATTTGACCAATAATTAAGAATAGTTTGGATATTTTATTCAAATTCAACAATCTAATGAGACCCACCACTACCATCATTTATTATAAACAATTCCTACCTCTCCACCTACCTACTCTCCCACCCCATCGTCTTCCACACTCACGCGCGCGCACACACACACACACACATTTTACACAGACGCACACCGGACCGCCATCGATCCGCCGCTCTCGCCGTCACCATCGCCGCCGCATCCGAAGCCGAGTCTCACCACAGCAGTTCGCCGCCCGCCACCACATCCGGCCACATCGCCACTAGAACGTCGCTGCTGGGTCACCGGCCACTTAGTTCGTTGCCGCTGGAGATGTCCGCAACTAGCCATCGCCCCAAGCTTCACGCCGGACTCCACTAGCAACCACCAAATCGCTGCCGGAAAAACCAGATGACTTTGTCGCCGCCATCACGTGCGCCGCTGAGCTCGACGTCGTCGGAAAACTGAAGAGATCGGCGAAGGTCTGAAAGACTGTGGGGGCTGCATCTTCGAGGGCGGCGGTGATGGTGGGGCGGCTGTGGACGGACGGCCGTCAGTCTCGTGGGGGTGGTTGGTCACCGGCAGAGGAGGGGTGGGCGGTATGGAGGTGACTGGGAGATGGAGATTTGGGTTTGCATTTGTGAATTTGATATGGTAGAAGGACTTAATAGCAATTTTGTAAACTTTTGTAAATTACAATTGAGTTAAATGGTCAAATCTACAATTAAATGAAATCTAATTAGTACTTTAACATGTAATGTTTTTATAATTTTTTATTCTGAAAATAAATAATATTTTTACTAAAATATAATATAATAATAATATTATTTTTTTATAATTCGATTATTTCGGTTTAAAAAAATAAGTATAATAAAATATATATGACATCAAATTAAAAATAATCGAAATATTTTTAATATAAGTTGGTTCGGTCATTTTGGTTAAAAGAATAATAATAATAAAATTAATACGACATCGGATTAAAATAATCGATTGTTTGAAATAACCAAAATTATTTATTATTTTTATTAAATATACATTTAATATCTTGATAATTATATTTAATAATTTCATATTATTATATTATTACACTAAATAACCCTAATGTGCAATTCAATAGACATTAATGTGCAATTCATACAACTCTAATGTGCTCCCACAATACATTACCATTTAAAAAATAATAATACTAATATTTTTCATATTGTTCGGTCAGTTCAGTTATTTATGTTATTTTTTAAAAATTGAATGTGCTCTCACGATACATAACCATTTAAAAAGTAAAAATAATATTTTTCATATTGTTCGGTCAATTCGGTTATTTATGTCATTTTTTAAAAATTGAAGCCGACATCGAACTTGAAATAATCGTGATTTGAAAGTGTAAACATTGAACCGAAATGTGCAATCCGATAGTCATAAAAGTGCAATCTGTATAACAGTAATGTGCATTCGATTGCAAGAATTTTTAACAGTATGATCCACACCGAACTAATTTCGAATTAATTGGCTGATTTATTTTATCGATTAACCGAATTAATCTAAATAATATATATGAATTATTATTTATACTATAAAATTATATTTATTTTTCAACGTTTATATTTAATGTTTTATTTTTAGTTTTGGCATTAATTGTTGAGTGTGGTCATAACGTGCAACGTGTTATTTTATAAGGTGCAACGTATTGTTTTACAAAGTGCATCGTACTGATATATAAAGTGTACTACTTTATATAATCACATAAATTATGTGTTTTTTAAAACTAGATTTAGTAGATATAATTGTACATCGAATCAACCTAAATAATTGAAGTAATTTATTATTTATTATGATAAAAATATATTTATTATATTAATAATTTTATATTATAAAAATTTATTGTTAAAAAAAGTATAATTTATTATTTATTATTATAATATTTTTTCTAAAAGAATAATTTATTTTTTATTATTATAAAAGTATAAGTTATTATTTATTATTATACTTTTGATATTTAAAATACTGAAAATATATAAAAACAATATTTCACTTAATATTTTTATTTAATGCTTTTGATAATTTTATAATATAATAAAAAACTAAAAATAATAAAATATTAAATAATAAATTATTCTTTTATAATAAATATTATAATAAAGTGCAACAGTTTGTTTAATATAGTGCAACGATGTGTTTTATAAAGTGCATTGTGCTGATATATAAAGTGTGATCACGTATAAATTATGTATTTTTTTAAAACTATATTTATTAGATAAAATTGTACATCAAATTAATATAAATAATTGAAATAATTTATTATTTTATTATTATTATTTATTATTTACATATTTTTATATATTTTTATATTGTTTTTCTTTACAAAACTACCATACATATATGCAAAAAAAATATATAAAGATAATAGTTTTTATATACTTTGTATAAATTACATATTTAACCCATAGGTTAAATTGAAATATAATATAAAATCTTCTAATTACAATCAAGTCCCTATAAACTATCAAATTTTCAAAATTTTGCCAAAAACCAACATCACTATTCTGGCGAGTTCCGGCTGCTGTCTTCGCCGTCGTGAGCCGACCCTCCGAGGGGACTTGTTGCTGCAGATTGTCGCCGGAGGAGACGACCTCCCAGCGTCGGAGTTGAGCTGCGGGTAGATAGAGATGTGGTCGGCGGCGATGGGAGGCAGGAAGGACGGGTAGATGACGACGAATCTGCAGCGTCCGGCGTCTCTGTGCGTCCATCTCCGGCGACTGAGACGGCGAAGGTCAGAAAAACGGTGGCGACGGAGGAAACGACGGGAAACTTGCATATGAGTTTCAGTGGCGGCGGCGCGGCGGTGGCGGAGGCGTGACAGAGGCGGAATCGAAATGGCGGCGGTACGCGGCGGCGGCGGAGGCGTGACAGTGGCGGAGTCGGAACGGCGGCGGCAGCTTGACAACACAGCGGCTGGATGGTGAATGTCGTCTGCCGGTGACTGTGTGTTTCCCGGCGAGTGTGTTTTGTGTGTGTGTGTGTGTGTGTCGCATGCGTGTGTGTGTATTGTGTGCAATGGGTGTGTGCGTGTGAGAGAGAGAAGAGAGTGTGAGAGAGACATAGGGTAGGTGGGTGACATCAACGGATTAATTGTGTGGTGGACCCTTTAATGTGGTAGATAATTAATTGGTGTATGAATAAATGTCCATAATACCCTTAATGAAAGTATAATGTTGACTTTTTTTAGCCACTAGATCATCGGATCTCATGGTCATGATTCATTTTTATTTCTTTCATTAAGCACCATTCTCATGTGAGCGCAACCCTATATATATATATATATATATATATAGGGATTAGTTTCAAT